GGGGTGGTGGCCGAGTATGGGTCTACGCGCAGTCGGCACGACCCGCGGCGGCGGAACCTCAAAGTTTCCCGCACCCCACTGCACCCACCCGTGGCCGGGTGGCGCACACTGCCCCTGCAGCCGCCTCGCGCTCTCGCGGCACCTGTTGACAACCCTCGGCGACACGCAAGGCCGCCGCTGGTGCTGCTGCCGCTGGTGCTGCCACCGCTACCGCTGGTGCCACACTCCAGAGCCGCGGTTCCTGGCGAGTGGTGGTGATCCGTTCGCGTACCCAATCCACCGTCGTCGACGTTTGCGAGCGCACACGCGCACACACGTACAGGTGTCGTCGTCTATATCGCACAAGCGCAAGCCGTTCACCGCTACCGAGTCCGAAGTTCGCGTCTGACACCCCGCCGGCCTGTGCCACCGTCAAGATTTCAAAGAGGTAAGCTCAGGGTTTAAAAAAAAAAAAAAATATTATTTGGGTTTTGGTGTTAAACCTTGCGTTATAGTCGATGGTTGCCTACTAAGACCCGTTGGGTTTATTTTTTTGTTTTTGGGGGGTTGGTTGAAAATTGAACCATCATCTCACCACCACCACCTTTTTGTTAATACAAACACAGCATCATTGTGCATGCAGCTTAGGTAACACGCGGTAGATATATCGTTTAAACAAAAATAAATCGAAAAGATGATTTGTTTCACGCGTCACCCCATTTCTCTTGTCTTGTACCAATTTATCTCTATGATGAAAAGCCGTATTAGATAGATACATGAAATTGAACTGACCGTATAATAACTAGTTATTCCTTGTGACGGATTTGAATAATCGTATTCATCCTGATGTTTTCCTAAATTTTATTTAAGTGATTAATTTTGGAACGGACTTAAAGACAGGTGAATCAGGTTTACAATATAATAATATGTGTAGTTCAATGTGTATAATATGTGCATTAGGAACATGGAAATTAATTGCTGTAATACTACAGGTCTATGACCGTCAGTAACCACGAATAACGTCTTGTAAAAAATTCAGTGTAAAAACTGAATTAATCATGATACGAACATTTATTTATTTATTTATTTTTTGATATTCAATTGAAAAAAAAAAAAATTACTTAACTCATCTGCCAACAAAAGTTTCCCGTCAATGAAAGTGTTATTATGAACAAAGTAAATGGTTCGATTCGTGCAAACGTACGGTATAAAGTTAAATTAATCATTTTTTTGGAAATTGATTGAAATATATATTTCATATACGAGTAATGAGTTAACAAAAAAAAATATAATATACATAATATTAGTAACACACAATTAATATTTAATAGTCACCGATTCGGTTGCTACTAAATGAATATATTTGTCCACTCACATAAATAATTTTTCGCCAATTTATAATGTGTGTCATAAAATATTGATATTGTCACAGCTTATGTTTTTTTTGTGTCGAACAAACTGTCAAGTAAAAATTGTATGATGTAGCTGAAGTAATTAAAAACGAGTTTGATTGTACTACGTTATTTTTTGTTCTGCTCGAAATGGAACTGAAAAATAAAAACGACAACTAAAGAAAACAATAATAAACGAAAAAATGTTATAGCTATTTAGTATTGTGATAAAAATGTATTATTAATATAGCAATATATTATGTATATGTTTGTGAACAAGGTGATTCCTTATTAAAAGCACTGCACTCATTTTCTAGACGAATTGAATGGGGGAGGGGGGGGGGTATAAAGCAAAGTTCTTAATGCACTACGTTTTTTTCACTAAAAAGGGAGTATTGCTTGATCTCAAGGGAGTATTCTTAAGTTTTATATTTTCCTCCAATCGCAGGCCAAATTATTATTTTTTTTTTTTATAAGATAGAGATATGAAAAATTGGATTTTCAATTTAAGGTGCAAACTTGGCCTTCACTCAGACTTCTGTTTTCTAACCATATATTTATTTACACTTATAGTCTCGTGATTCATATTTTCGATAAATTAAGTTGCATTAAAAAAAAATACTTTATTAATTATTTCCTAATAACTTGTGTTGGTTATACCGATACCTAACTTTTTTTCTGTACGTTCGGGTTTTCACACAATCCATATTAGTGTTACAATATTTACTAAACATGTAATCAAAGTTATTGTTGTAATTCACTGTTACAACCATCGTAACAAAATGAAATAATGTCCCGCAATTCAATAATAATAATAATGAAGACGAAATTATCAATAGTTATTTGCATGATCAAATGTTGGATAATATATTTCTGTACTGCAATGATCACACAACTTATGTTTTCTCGTTGAATAGTACTTAATATTAGCATAATTTTTAGTTAAAAAAATTAAATTAAAACACGTGGGCATTTCATACTTATGGATTTAATATAACTTCTAATTATAGTAAATTAAATAACGAATTCCTTCAGATAAAGTTGTGCGCCACGAAAGTGGTACCGATTTGTTTTTTCCGGTTAATAAATGTAGTATCCTCCATCTCCCCATAAGTTATTATTAACTTCAATAAACCTAATACCAAGTAAAAAAAGATAAACATCAGTTTTTGAGTAATAACAAGACATGATAGGTATTTATCGACTGAGGTTCAAAAACCAATAAACAGTTGTGTACAAAATCAATTATGGACATCGAATTCCTTAAAAATAATCGCGTTCACTTTTTGAGAGAAAATCTACACCAGTTTGCTATTCTAAATTTGTTGATACCATTGTCTCCGAGGTACACTACATATTCTGGAAAGGTGGGTAGAAAAATTAAGGTTTCCGAAAATATTTAATAAGTATTTAGTATGTTTAAATATTTTATACTTAAAATTTATTTTATATTTAATATTCATAAACATTAAAAGTATACCTAACTATCTCACGTCACAATATTTACATAATAATAGTATACTCAGATGATTTTTGAGACCTATACCAATAACTTTTTTACTATTGAAATGCATAATAAATGATGATTATTTCTTCTGTTTACAAAAGTGCTTAGTTTATAAATCTGATCAGAATAGTTATAAAAGTATCAAGAGCTAGACATGAAAGTTTAAAGACAATAATATTACCTTATAATTTATGAGGAACAGGTAACTGTTGAATTCGTGAAACAATAAGATACCTGTTGTGTGTAGTTTGCATGCTATTATAGATTGTGCATTTTGTATCAATCATTAATTATTTTACATGTTACTCTTGTAAAAATATTATATTTTAATGGAACTATTTATATTTTTCATATAATATACAATGACCTAAACATTATGTCAAAATAAAATAGAACACCCTTTCCCTCAAATTTAAAATTCTATGTAAAAAACACTTTGCATCTAAGCCCGTGTAGTCCATGTGATGCATGAATTATTTTAATTTATTTCAACCATCTCTCTACTGATCCGATTGTACAAAAATTTAAATCCACTTATACATTACAACCTGCGTTGTATTTACGAATTTTAATTGACAATTTTCAGTAAAGTTAATATGGTTTCAACATTAATTAATACATTAAAGTGAATAAATTTCTATTCAAAAATATACCTAATATTATAAGTGCGATTATTAATTATTTCATTATGTTGTGTATGAAACTATAGTAGGTATCATTATTCTGTCTGTGGCTTTTAGCGTGGAAAAGCTTAAATTATTATTATATACATTGTGGTAGTATATTATTTTTTATTATTGTGCATATTATGTTTTAAAAAAAATATTTCAATTTTAAATGTTATAATTTATGGTTAGAATAGTAAAAACTCATTGATAATTTAATCATACGTTACTGTTATTATAAAAATAATGTTCATTTCAGAGTAAAAAATGAATTATGATTAAAACTCGTACTAAAAAATAGCACAATAACATCCAAGATGTATAAAATTATCGTAAAACGTTATATAGCTTAATAATGACTCACTTTTTTAGTGCTTCAATAAAGGGATGAAAGAAGTAGGAAGGTAGTGTAATAATTATTTTTATTTTACATTTTTCGCATTCATTTTTTTTTTGATTTCAATTTATTTCAATAAACATTTATAATTTACAAGCAGAATAAGTATAAATGGTTCCGCGTCGGCCAATGTTTTCTCAATCAGCGTTAATACTTTTTAAGATTTTTTTTGTTTATGAAAAATGCTGTTTTGGTGGTACTACACAGACACACAGTGTATGAAAGCGCCAATTTTAAAAAAACCAATTTTAGTACTATATGTATGATTTACTGATGTCTCATCGGATTTATAACGTATAGTTAATTACCTACCCATCTTCCGAGTCCTGATACTCGATGACACACAAAACACTTCTCCATTCTGTCGTGGTATAACTCGTCCAGTTCATCTTGGCTCTTGGCTGACGTCACAGATTACCAATGTATATTTAAAAATCAGTGTGACCACTCCCAACAATTTAATGTGAAATTAACCAACTTTTAGTCATTAATATCTAAAAATTAGTAAATAATAAAATATATCTTGATGAAATACCCAACAAATTTAATGCAAATTTGTGTCAACTATAATTCCCAATATTAAACATTTACTCGTTTACCTGCAGTCGTCAATGCGTATTAAGTTATTGAACATTAACATCTGGCTTTCATACCTCTTAAACAGTAATGATTTACAGACGAAAATTATTAAAATGTTTTTTATTCAATATGATATTATGGTGTATATGTTACTATGTCTTTCATGATCGAAACTTATATCATCCTACTTAAGTCGTTATTCATCGTAGTTTTCCAGCTGAAAATATTTACTCACATTAAGCTGTTCATGTGCATTTGTTAATCCAGGAGATAGTGTTAATTCGATTTCATCAACCAAATGAATCGCATTAACTGATGTGAATTAAAAAGGCGATTATGCGCACCTAACTTCCGAATTAACTTAATTCACGTTGATTTTAATGCACAATAACGAGTGCATAATGATATAAACTAGGTACTATACTTGTAGATCAGCGTAGGTGACGAGTATTGAAGTTGTATACGCTCTCCAAAACTAAAGAAAATTATTATTTAGGGTTTTTTGAAAATTATTTTTACACGACAAATTAAAATAAAACAATAGAAAGTAGAACGGTACCAAAAATTAATGTTGTACGTTAAAAATAATAATCATATCTTAGTTTAATACGTACATGAATATGTACATCCATAAAACACGTCATATCCATGTGTAGTATTCAAAATATTATGCAGAACGATTTCATTCACCGAATTTCATCAACTTTGTGGTGTTTCGTAGAGTGTTTTACATAACTTTTCAGATGTAAACTTAAAAAATAAACGTTATTCTGCAAGCATAAAGTTTACGCAATTAAGTTCAGAATCCGAAAATAATAACGACAAGTATGCGATTTTATTACAAAACTATACAGGCCCCAACTACTTGTATTACGCGTTTACACAATAACAGCTAGTATTTTCATAATC